CTCATGGAAATCGGCGATATTTTCTTTTTTCTTAGGGCGTTCTCATGTCGCAGAGCGTATTCTGTGATCGCTGCCAGGATCTCATCCAAAAAGTTTGGAGCGTAAAAAGTTCTGCCAGACGTTACCGCCCGGCAAAAAAAAAACGGCTTTGACTTCACCTCACCCACGCCCCGCCGATGGTGGGGGTCCCTGCAGGTTTCCACTGTTACCCGCGAGGGGTCCACAACTCAATCCTGTGCCAGAAATTGGATGTCACAGTGAGGCGGTGACATTACCTTAATGTTGAGGTAGCTTTGAGAGAGAATTTCTCTCTTTTCATAATACACCCTCCTTCTACTACTCTCTTAGTTTCCATCGCTTTGTCTGGCATTATGTTGAACCGTAGTGTGCACATCTTGTACTTCGCGGTTTCGGACGTGAAGCTCGCTCATCGACAGCTTCATCAACCGCTCCAGAGTGTTTGTTTGGCCGGCTATTCATTCACAAACATCTGAAACTCGACTTACCACTACACTTCTAATGAGAATTTCGACTTGTTTCACGGTCTGTTCGTGTGTGTTGTTCAGTTTCTGTTCCAAGATTGGTTGTGTCATACAATGGTCGTCACCAGGTCTCAGGCTGAACCTGGTCCTGAAGGAGGACAGAGGAGTGAAGTGACTTTCAGATGATTGAAAGAAAAATATTATATATCAAATGATATATCATCCATACCTTTGTATTCCGCTAGTGCAACCTGACCGAGTCATCGACGTCGCATCGAGATTCACGGCAGAGGTAATAAACGGAGAGCACGTCCAGAAGGCATATTTATCCATCGATCGAGATACAGAATAAGTATATGCACCATATTCTTGGAAGAAAGAATCAATGATGAAAACAAGAGCACTGAAACGATAATTCGCTATAGGACTTCTGGGCTTAGAATGGCTCACAATGACTGTAGGTGGGCGGGTGTTAGGTGAGCGTATATTCCATTCAAGTATTCTAGGTTGGGACCTGAATCACCGAAGAGAATTGCTCGAAGCCTTCATAGACAATCGAACTGCAAAATTTTCATCTCGGCATTCCAATGAAACACCAATTTGACGACTTGAGAAAGATGCCCGGTAACCAGGCCAGGGGCTCTGGGTTTCCCGTAGTAGAGGCTATCTTCGCGAGGGTGACTGCATTGAGGCCGGCGGGACCATCCCGAGAAGACGGAACATGAGATATCCACACATCATCGCAAGTGAAAACTAGAGTTTTGTTCCCAATTTAAACTGTCTCACATTCAAGGCACTTCAAAGAGGGCCCGAGGCTTGATGACTGATTACGTCAAGGGAGAATAAAAGGTGGCCGCGATGCTCCCGGACATCAACGATATGCATGTTAGCAGCATTTCAAAGGCCAGACTCGCGATTGAGGAGTCATCCTCAGAAATTCCTCATATTCTTTTCAAGAACATCGTAAATATATTTACAAAGCCTGGCAGACTTGTACTTCTCATACCGTCGTGTGACGAAGTCAGAAGAAGCATGTTACAGCTCAACTATCCTGAGGTTTGACTGGACAGCGGGTCGCGCATAAAACACCTTCCTGGATGTTTGAACAGCATGAATCGTCTGTTTGACCCCGGTCTCTTCTACTATCGGCATACTGTCGAATAGACCAAGAAGTTCGTCGCCGGCTACGCCTTTCTCCTCTTCTTCGTCCTCGACTTCCATGCTCATTGAAAAGGGACTCTGGGTTTGCTTTCTCATGTCCTGTGTAGTTAGCAAATTACAGTCAAACACTACTTAGTATGGTCTGTCGCGACACATTCACGGCATGTTCCCTCAATTCGCCGTCTCCAGAATAGGTTTCATGCTGAGGCTCCTTGGGACAAGAATCTTTCGCAGCCATGTTGCCGGCTTCTACAGCGGTCCGAGATATTCATGCGCCTCGACTACATCATTCCAAGTCTGCATGAATTTCCTCACTCTCCAAACACCCTCCTCGGACCAATGTCTGCCTTATCTAGCTTCGGTCTCTCCAAACTATATCCCGATTCTTCCATACATGCTTTTGGTAAGATACTTGATGTATAATGGAGAGCTTTCCCTCCGTATGACTCAGCACAAGCGCACCTGGAATCATAGGGACACTGAACGTGAAGTCACGAAAAGGAGTGGGCAAAGAAACTCGTCTCTATAGGACACCAGCCGAAAGGTCACGCGATACCCATAACGTCTCCCAAGGAACACTGGGCTCCTCTTGACGGACTTCTCCTGTACCCCTCAACCGCGTTTCCCACAACTCACCAGGTGACAGGATCGGAAGGAGAAGAGACCCAGGCGCACCTTTCACTTCTCCTTGCCGGGACAGGCGCCGAGAACTTGCCACACTCACGGCCATTTTGCTCCTGGGGATGAGTGCCAATGATAACCGGAGTGCCAGCGATGATGCTTGTGTTCTACAGTACTCAACAACAGGCTGATGAGTTAGAGGTCCTGTCGCCAAATCGTTATTTCCTCCCCTCTCGTGCCGTCGGCCGGTGACCGGAGTCCGGGAGTATTGTTAAATCTTTTTCAAGATTCTTGTGGTCTTTCGATTTTCATGAGAACTTGAAAGATATTCAAACCGACCATTTCTAGCTCTCTTTTAACAGCGTTCATCAGCTCTTGTGATATGTTCCACAAGGAATAAACAACACTTGCAGGCAGTACTCTCTTACAATGCACTCTCTATATATTATACAGGTCTTGGATACCACGTAGAGCAAACACTGGCTACACTTCCACATGTGAGACAGATCTGACATTTTATGAGGGAACTTAGGCCCATTCATAACACAGAGCCTCACGGGACGCCGATGATATTACAGGCATTCACAATACCGGAGTCGTCTCGCTCCTCCTCCAAACCCAGTCCGGACAGATACCTTAAACCCGCCCAGTCCACGACAGCTGGATCCAACGGCAGCAGATAGAGATATAGCTATCGACACCGGTACCAAGACTGTAGAGGTTCAGCCAGGCCCATGTTTGCTACAAGATCCAACCGCAGTTGAAGTAATTCAGATCTCCCACCAACCAACCGCAATCCCAAATCATGCAAGCCAGGTAAAGAACCCCCAACGCTGATCCAAGTCACCTTCCCTACCTAAGCACTACCGTTTCCCCTAAACCTCTGACCTGTAGTCTCACGATATAGCACCGCACTTAGCCACACAAATTCAGGGGCCGGGATGGCAACAGAATCAACGGCTTCAGGGGCAAAGGGCAACGGGAACAATACTGAGAAACAACAACCACCCAATCGTAGTCTAGTTTGAAACTGCTGATCAGCCTCCAGTAACGGGAACTAGGCACGATCTTCTAGAACAATTGATCCCCTATCCAGGACAAGTATACAGACATCACGGCGCCAAAACCAAAGCTTCACCCCTCTACGAACACACCTCACCAACATAGTCTACGAACACCAGGCTGAAGTCGGCCGCCGGGCTGTCTCTCCGTCTTCTCAGACCCTCCTCAGAGTGCGCCAGCCGCCCACGCTGAAGATGCTATTCCTTAGATCGCTTGCTAGATACTTACTGATGCTGGTCCAAGATGGTGCTACCAACAAGCCGCCTCAAAACCGCGCCGAAAGAGACTCTCGCCCTCCCGTTGCCATCGTGCCATCTTCCACTCGCTCCCGCTTAGTTCAGGGGGAAGCAACGTTTGGCTAAACCCATCAGGTCGTCGTCCATCCATCGTCCAGCCTGCCGCCATTCCAAAGAGCCGCCCCGTCACGCCGCCACTTTTTTTGTTCTTTGTCTCAACCCTCGTGGGGGGGAATATTAGGATGTTTTAGCTCGCAGGGCGCCATGCCCGTTTTATATCGACTACCCTTCCCGTCCACAACAGCATTACCTACTTACTTACTCATATGCCTTACCAAGAGGACTAGTCGGGAGAAAAAAAAAGGCCTCCCGACTTGAAGCCAAACGAACACGCCACAAACGCATGTTAGTCGAGCGGCGCCGTCACCGAAGAAAAAGAGTCCGTCCCTGCGGGACCGCAAGCCACCCCAGATCCGACTGTCAGACGTTCGACGGAACTACTCAACAAGTCGAGACGAACAAAGAAAATATGAAAAAAGGGTCTTGTACCACGCTCGGCGTCCCTGAGAAGCAGGGGTCTGCCCACCTACATACCGCATCAACCGCAATGGCAAAACGGCCACCGGGGAGGAATGTTGCGGACATTAGGTCGCCGCCGCCATCAGAAACAACTTTGCACCAACGCGGACTCTGAACGGCGGCTCGGCCGGCCGGTCGGTTCATATCGGCGCGGGCGTGGCGGTCTCGCCCGACCTGTTTCGCTGCTTGTGTAGCCTGACAAACCTGGGCTGTGGGAGGCTGGGAGGGGGAAGAAGAGGATGTTTGAGGTCTCGGGGATGTGGGGGAGGGGAAGAAGAAGACAGCCAAGGGCCCAAAGGCTCCAGAGGCGGCGAGAGAGACAAGCGAGCACGCAAAAAAGACCCTGATGTTCCTGTAGCCGTCGCGGGAACCGTGAACAAGCCCATCGGACAATTGTTCGCCTCTGGAGGCGCGACGTGGGTGGCTCGAGGCTAGGGTAGCATTCGCCTAGCAATGCGCGCGGAATCACTGTGACTGGCGAGTTTCGGATGCCTTGTTGGTTTGGGACGTGTGAACATCGTTCAAGGCATTGCGTTGGCTCACACTCTCAGACGCAAGAACGGCGGTGGAGAGCCTATTCCGGAAGCTCGTTCATCCCGATTTGATTCTGTGGTGTTGGCCCAGCTGTTGCCGTTGCTAGCAGGCTGCTGCTGCTGCTGCTCCTCCTCCTGCTGCGACATGGACCGGGGAATGGAAGAGTCAGGTCAGACCCGTCGGTCAGACGGGCAACAGAGCATACGGGCCCGGCTCACCGGGTGATATCGTTCGTTTCAGACATCGGTGCGGGTTGCCCTGCTTCTCCAAGGCATAGGTCGGTTGTGTCGGTAGCTGCTATGGCCGGACAATTAATGAGAAACTATCAGTCCCCGGTCCGCATGCATGGCGACATGTTTCGACCCAACTTTGGATCTTCGTATCGCATTAGCCGAGAGCTGAGGAATCGTTCATCAACCAAGTGGGTGAGGTCTTGGGAGCTTGGGTGCTTGGGAGCTGTTTGCCCGTGGTTGCTGCGCCCCGAAATAGAGCTCCCCTTGATAGCGAAAGCGGGGAACCCAGTCCCAGAATCCCATGCTCTCCAAGCAAGTCCAAAGTCAGTCTCAGCCCAGCAACATCCAGTGGTTCCGGGGTCGGCGATTGAGACTGTAAGATAGAGAGGTTCGAAAGAGGGGTGAAGGAAGCATGAAAGAGGAGCTCTATCCATAGAGTAAACACCCCCTGCGCTGACACCAAGATCCTTCGCCAGCCTTGTCATCATCATGGTATCGTCAGCAGTTGCGAAGCGGCGCCTCTCTTGTATTGACCCTCACAACCCGGGGGTCATCTTGACGGATTCCCGGCTTCAATGATGTGATGTTATCCGCAATTCGTGGCCGCAGAAAGAATGAATGAAAATCGGAGTTCGTCCGTACACGACGAGCCATGCCGAGGGATGCCGACTCCACTGAGCCCCCAAACCTGAGCTGAAGCTCCGCTCGGACGTTCCTGGTTCCTGTCCCATCAGCACGTCCCATTCGAGAACCTCTCCCCCCTCGTCGGTTTCTTCCCTCCCTCCCCCACTACCACACCACCAAACGTCAACCTTGAACCAGGTTCGCCCAACCGGACCGTCCAACCAGCTGCCAAACCGGGATGACGGCGGCTAGAGACGTCACTGCTGGAGACACCATCCTTGTCGGAATCACGTGAAACAACACATGACTTCGCGTTGAAGCTAGGATCCAGAAACAGGGTCTGCAGGGGCCCATTGTTGACATGAATCGCGAAACCGCAGTTTGTAAACAAAGTGCCCGCCAACGAGAAGAGAGAGCGAGGAAAATTCCCCTCACTTGAGTATGGAGAGTGGCTTGCTTCCCACCCGCGGTGCAACGCGCCCGCGCCGTCTGCACCCGCTTTCGTGCTTCACCATAGCCGTACCAACGATGACGAGACAATGAAAGAGCTCCATAACGGCCTAAACGGCACCGTTTGTCCATTGGACTGGGTCCAAGGCTAGAGACGATCCTCAAACGTTCAGCCAGAGACCAAAAACGATGTGAGCAGGATTTGAGCGACGACTCTCTGCTTCTCCACGTTATCCATGGTGGGCCGCGTAAAAGGTGTTTGATCGTGGTCTTGGAGGGGTCAAGGAGCAAAAGAGGGGAAGCAGTGATGGCTCTCTCTGTGTGCGCAAGTAAAGCTGAGGAACAGGAGAGGGGAAGAGGAGGGGCACGGAGACCCGAGGGAGAGGGAGGGGACAACGCCATCGCGGATTTTGTCACGCGGCACTGACTGATGTGTCTATACCGGGCGTACGACAAGGCTTACAAACCTTCTATCAATGTCAAATTCAAGCTGAAAGTTTGGCTCTGACAGCTCCCGAGTGCATTGGGACGCCTCATTGGATTGTTTCCGATGCCTGTCTTCCCTATCATGCAGGTAATCTTCAATAGCGCGAGATGGCCTCATCAATCCAAGGCATCACGGCCTGGTAGCGCCGAAGGCCAAGTCTTGTGCGCGCGAATAAACAAACAAGGCGAGCCATCCAATCCTGTTTCTCGGTGGCATCTGTCGCTCTCTCTCGCCTCCGAGTCGAGTCCCCTCTCGTTTCGGTCAAGCTTGACCGACATGTTGTCGTACGTGTGAGCCATCTCTCTAGTGATTGGCACTGTTTTCGGTTGTTGATGGGTACGGGGTCGCTGTCGATGCGGCCCTGGCACTGGATCCAGTATACCCATGGTCGTGATGCTTCGAATTGTGCAAATGCTCCAGAAAAGAACGATGTGACCGCATGAGAATGACGGCCCGGCTAAGCAGGATCTCGATACACGACGGCGAGACGAGCGCTCTGCCTTGGGGGAGGGGCCGCAGGCCGGGGGGTGTTCTTGAATCTTGACGATCACTGCCAGGCTTGACCCCGAGAGGATGACGTCTGTTTTGGAGCCGGACTAGACCGGCCGCAGGTGATCGGGACGGGAGGTGCGTGATCGATGCTTTTTTACATCGAGATGGCCGATGGGGGGGTTCTCACATCGCCCTCTACGTCGCCGCCCATATTTGTACGAAGTTCGGATACGCAAGCTTGACTTGTTAGCCTCAAAGTCATGGATGATGGCCAGACCTTGTTTTTCTCGATGTGTAAATGCCGGGTGAGACCATGTCTTGAGGCATGGGAAGATGCCTGAAGACCATGTTTTTGTTGTGCCCATTTCTTCTCGAATTTCCTTCTCGCGTCTGATGAGTCAAATCGCGATCGGGCTATATGCGTATTATCGCAACCCAATCAGTAGTCGTGCGGCGTGCCTCCAACTAGCTTATGTCAGTAATTCTCCGACCGCATTGATGGAGGAGTGGCGTGGTGGTGTTGGGGTTTCGGTCGCTTCTTGGTCCTGGCCCGGGATCGGGCGATGCTGGATACCGATTATTTCATCCGCATTTTGCTGTTTGAGCATCCTCATCTTACACTCTCAAGGCTTTCAGGAGTTGGTCCCGCTGACCTGTTCGTGTTGGACCCTTGTTGGCGTGAAGCTCGTGCGATTGATAGAGCAACGCGAAAGGAGACTCATCTTGTAGCACCGAGGATGTTCTCCATGGCGCCAGGCATAACGCCGTAGCTCCGACTTTCGTCACAAGGTTTGAGGCGCCCTTCTGAATAGTTCCAAGGCGGCGGCCCGTCATCAGATCAGACAAGCTCGACATGGCAATTTGCGTCAGCCACACTCACTGTCAGTGATCATTTACATTCCTCCACCCGCCTTCACCGACGGCCAAGTGCACTTGCCTGTGCACCCGCTTGGACTTGAAGCTGTCGACTCGCAATCACGATCCCAACGCCAGTCGCTAGTGCGCCAATGGCAGCCGGTGGCTTGGAATCGGGAGGATGAGTGGGCTGTGCGTAGCCTCTCGCTCGTAGTGTACCCGTCCGGTAAAGTGTCGCGGGGTTCCAGGGCTCGGTGAATAGGGACGCGACCCATAGACGATTTTTTTTTTCTCTAACCAAGCAACCGTAGATTAGGAGCGGAACAAGACAGGGTAGGCCGGTCAATATCAACAGGGTTGACGATGGCATCGGCCCTTTAAGCGAAGTCAAGAGCTTTATGAACGTTTCGTCCATTCTTGAAATCGTGAGCCTCATCCATTGTTGCGCAACCCCTGGCGGGATGGAATTCTTCAATCCTATTTCGAGACGCCCAGGTGATCAACATGGTCATGCTCACGGTCAAGGTTGGCCCAAGGCCGAAAGCCGGCTTGTCGATCGAGTTAATTTTTTGAAGACGAGCTTTCCAAGAACAGTCCAAAGTAAACAAAAGGTCCCCTACAGAGTAAGACGGCGGGCGTCTCGAGGGAGCCGGGGATGCTGCATGGTGGTCACCACCGAGAGGGGTTCTTCTTTGGCCCAAACCTCTGTGCACACGGAAATATGACAAACATGCCTTTGGCCGGGCCTTGTAAGTGGAGCTCTGGAGCTTCAAACCAGGATCCTGCCGTTGCTGATGTTGTCATGTCGTCCCAGAGGAAAACGAGAGGCACGAGAGCCTGTCTCGCCTGTATCGAGAGCTTCTTCAACCCCACTTCGTGAGTCGTGAGTGCGTAACTCGTCCTGCAAGAAGCTGGAGCATCTCACCGTCGACAGCCGCGGTCGCCGGGGGAGCTTCGACCCTGTGGAAGCTAGGGCGGGCCGGCCAACACGGCGGAGCATCAGAAACATGGCTGTAATACTCTGGAAACCTGGACTGCATGCAGTAGCTGCAGCAGCTTGATGCAGCCCGGCCATCTGTCCGCAATGCAAAGTGCAGCTCTGCATCCGAGGTATCCATCTTCATCGACTATCCATCCAAACGTATCCGTGGGTACTGCACAGTTTCTGCATCGAGCTCGCATACGCGCATCAGCTATGCAGCACATCTGCAGCCCGCCGCGCGGTAGTGTGCTCTGTAGGCGGGGGAGCATATGGGACTGGCGCCCGAATCTTTGCTCGTCCCGATTCCCCTGTTGCTTCTGTTGCCCCGTCGAACAAGTCTACGAGACGCAGAAGGATCCAAACTGACTGTGTCCTTGGAGACAAACACCGGCCGCTTCTGCGACCATGTCGCAACTCGGATAACCACCATTCGACCTTCATCTCCCCAGCCGCCGGCTTCGGATCGGCCTGACCACTGAGCGAGATACACGTACCGACGTGCGTTAAAACCAATGTCTCTATCGCTGTTCCTCGATGCACGGTGCTCATTGTGGAGATGAAAGACTGAGCGTGCCGCTTCACCGCCAGCCGGTCTTAGACAGACTTTGACTGGCATCTGGCATCTGGCAGCCTTCAACACCCGTGCCCTGAACTCAAGTGTCGCGCCGTCAAATCCGCATCATTCAAATGCTTGACCAGCGCCGCTGATGTTGGCGTCGCCATTGATCGCAGGGCAAACTGCCATTCGCCCGTCTGTTCGCCAGCCAGTCAAGCCAGGTCAGCCAAGACCCAGGCCTAGACCAGCTGGATGGATCACTATCAGGGAGTCGACATGGACAACCGGGGCAAGACTCGAACTCTGTTGCTCTGTCAGAACGGTCGTTGTCAGTCGTCATCTCGGTGCATCGCCTGGTCCGGGTTTGGTGTCTGCTAATATTCCGAGCTTCAGCCCCAGCCCCAGCCCCAGACCCAGCTCCAGGCTGAGCTTGAAGCTTCAGCAGAGCTCTAACAAAGCTCTCTTTCTGTGTGTCTCTTTTCTTCCCAAGCTCCCGAGCTATTACCACGCACCAAGCTCCATCTGTGCTTACAGTGTATCCACTTGCCTTCCGAAACAGGATGCTCTGTAAGCCAGCTGTGCCAGCGCCGCAAGAACAGTGTCTCAGCGCCCACTAGACCCTGTGTTTCTCCTAGTGACCGATAGCGAGCCAATTGCAACGCCAAATCGGTGTGAACAAGAGGCTCTGGCAGGTCCAAACTGTTTATTCGAGGACCGCGGTCGGTTTGAAGTTTGGGTTGCACGGGACGATGTGGCAGTGATAAGCAATCCTGAGGTTCCCAGGTAGGTAACGAGAGCGGAGTCTAGCCCAGCACGCATACATACAAATCGCACGAGACAGAAGCCGGGGCCAGGACCGGGGTCACGTACTGGGCCGATGGGCGGGGGAAAGCGAGGGACTGCCCTAGGCTTGGCTGAGAGAGTTGAGAACTTGAGGCAGAGCGGCCGAGAGCTCTGGCCAGTCGCGATGGCGGAGATGGAAGTGAAGCCCTGCGAGCTGCCGATGCCCCCTTGTCGGACCCTAGTCAAAGCCCAGCTGATCCCAGCCGATCCCACGTCTTCAGCCCAGGGCCGGCCCCGTTGGTTGCTGTGGGGAGAAGATGACGATGGGGGTTTTACCGGGTCATTAATGTACGGAGCACTTCTTTTTTTTTCCTTCGAATTTTCTTCCTGTCTTCGGAACCTCCTTTTGGTCGTTGCCGGATCATTGCTGAGATCCGCTTTGTGGAGGCAGGGTCTTTGGAGCAAGTGCTGAAAAAAATCTTTGCAGACATGCTCAGCTATGTTGATGGGTTTAGTGTAAAGTCTCACGACGCGACTCCGTACACTAGCCTATGTGCCAGATCTGCCATTTCTCGGCTCTTGTCGTACGGTACGGTAGAGACCGAATAACTCGGCAGGGCCGGCTTTCCTCAGGCTCGGGCCCCGTTCGCTGGCCGGACAGCTGGGCCGTCTAGATTCGCTTGGAGTGCATCAGGATTTCGAGATGGAGGATACGAGTAAGGTCACCGCAGATGCTCGACACCCAAATCTACGTCATTGCTGGGCTTGTGATTCCTGCAGCCCTGACGTTTTGACCTTCTGTGCATGTCACTGATGCGGGCCATTGGGAGGCCATCTCGAGGTCACCAAGGAATGCTGTTGTCTTGTGTATCTGTAGGAAGAGGAATGTAGACTGGGTCCGAAAAGGGCATCACAGCCAAGGATCTACGTCCCGAATTAGCGAACAATTGTACAGTATCATCCCCATTGATGGCTTGTTTGTCGACGGGATAAGCCTGTGAATAATTAGCGGCCAACAAGCCACTCACGAGTTTTTTCGTACTCCGTACCAGAGAAAGGGGGAAAAAGTCTGACATGGCCCATAGTCACCACGCCATTTTATTCCAACCTTGTCTCAAGCAAGACCCTTCTCGCAGGCTACGACCCGGCAACCGAAGAATGCAGCAAGGAGTCATTTAGGGCCCTGAAGTCTCACTTCAGATGTTTGCTGACGCCCCGGAAATGTCATCGCCTGTGTCGGCCGCAGCGGATGTGCCCTGCCTACAGCGGCAACATCAATAGGTCTGGATTCGGGCAAACTGTGTATGCCTCCGGGGGCGTGGTTGCTTGGGAGCACCAGGTCCGAGTAGAAAGCTTGGTGTGCCGTGTGGCCTGAACGGTGAACCCAAGCTGAAGGGATGACGAGACGGGCAAGATTCGGGAGATCATGGGCGTGGGAGCCCTGTCCAAAGCCGCCAGGCGTTTCCGTTTCTGCCGCTGCTGTGAGGTAGCCTTGCCAACCCTGTGTCCAACATGAGGATGGAGGTCGTGGTCCGGGGTCTTCTGGCGAATGAGGATGGAAGCATCACGATTAAGGTGCAGGAAGCGGATGACACAATAGGCAAGGCGGCGCCTGATGTAATTGCTGGCTCCAGACCCTGAATGCTGGTAGGCTAAGCAGCCGGTTGCTCAGAGCAGGGGATAAAAGTCAGTGAGTTGGCAGACAGGCGACAGACGGGAGAGACAAGCCGCTACTGTCTTGTCTCTGAATGCTGTGCTTGTAGCCGTACCTATGTGAAAGAGTACATGCTCGCACGTCCAGTGCACTGCCGAAGTATTAGGAGGTGCTCTGTAGTAAGACACACCCTGGACAGGGGACAGCTGAGTAGGGCGATACGCCAACTCACCGCTCATTTCCAGGCTCGCGATGGTCACTGGCGGTGGTGTTGGTGCTGAAGTGCGGCGTTGTCAGCGGTGCTGAACTTGATCTGATGGTTTCCCGCGCCGGGCGATGATGTAAGTCGACGGCCTAGGCCCACTTCTGCCAAGTGAGGTTTGCTAGTGCTAGGCAGAGAGGCATTTTGGAGGTGACAGTGTCCAGCTGGCAGGTCGGCTGGCACCTCAAGCAACCTCGTGGACAGTAGAAGCTGACTCTGTCGATTCGGTTCGAGGTTCGTGTGAAGGGCGCTTAGAAGTTGGCTTCTCGGATAGCCTAGCGCCAGCCTTCAGCCACACGGGGGCCATCGTCAACTAGATACCGTAGTTCACAGCCGGGGCGACGGTGAAATCAGTCTTTAGTTGATGGAAGGGGGGAGGGGTAAAAGGATGACTGCGGCCGTTGGGGGCAAAAAGGGACGAGCGGACGATGGCTTGCAATGGACGCATGTCGTTGCCATATGGATGGATCACGGGAGGCGCGTGTAGGTGGTCCTTTGCACGTAGTGTTTCCCTGTGCGCGTCGTTTGGATCTCGGATTACAGTTCAATGGACCGGTGGTTGACTCGTATCTAGAGAATCCTCAGTGATTTCCGTTGGAGCTGTGCCATATTCGATGTGCTGTTGTCGTCAGGGTACTCGAGTCGGACTGGCATTGGGATTGCGTCTGGCTTGTTGCACTAAGCCAAGAAGATAGTCGAAAGTTGATACCGCTTTTCGCTGGGCCCGGCGCTTCTTCGCAAATGGTGCTTTCTGCCCGAAGGAAGGGAGAGCCAAATTAATCGCAATTGTCCAACAAGTGAACCAAGTAGTAGACGGAACGCTTGCGGGCAATAAGTCGAAGCAGAGGTGCGGCATAGAGATGCTTTGTTGGAAAGCTGGGCTGAATTGTATGAATGTTTGAGCTTGCACAGCACTAAGAGGAACAGCACAAAGCACAAAGAGCACAAAGAAAGAACAAAAACGTTTAATTCATTCAACGGGGTCGAAACCTCCCTTGCCTTATGTTGGTTGTTCCTGGCTAATAATTGAATGGAAGTGGAAGGAAAAGACTTCCATTGGACACTTGGTGCCTTCCAAATTAGAGTCGAGCCTTACACCTCAGGTTTGACCATTGTGAGGCAGGAAGGACTCAAGGAATACCTTAGGTAGGTACTGTGTAGAGTACCTTAGGTAACTACACTAGGCAAGGTACTCAGTGCCTGCCAATATCACTTACAGAAGGTGGAGAGGTCTGGAGACTTCCTTCCATGGCTGAGGCGTGGGAGAAGGAAGGGACCTACCGTACGGATACGCATGGAAGGTACCTCACCTCCCGTCACTCCGCACTTTCCTCATAGGCCCCGCAGGCTGTAGCATCTGGGTCGGCGCCGGGTCCGCTGCACGGTTTTTTCTTCTCTTCAATTTTCTCTCTCCCTGCAGACGGATCACCGGGCTACGAGACCCTTCCACTGGGCAACCCGTTCTTTTCCTTCTCTTCCGCCTCACTACCATGGGAAACAGCGGGGATCAGAAAGGGTTTTCTCGACGCTTGATATCCGTATCATGTAAGACCATCACTACGGTCCGGGTTACGGATACCTTTAGCCTCAAGATGCTGCAGCAACCGCAAGTCCGCAACGGGTCGACGGGTCCAACATCCAACGTGACACTGGTTTGATCGCGAGTTTACTGGATCCCGTTCCGAAAGCTGCCCAGCGACCAGCTCCGTGTGCTCCAGTCCACGGCTGCACCGCACACCACAGACCACCCCGCGGGCCTCTGTTGAGGGACTCGGGGACTCAGGGACGGTATGCTATGTTGCCCACAGACCAAGTTGTGGACAGAACATCAAAATCTCTTCTCGGGGAGTTTCCAATCTAACGCCAGACAGAAACATGGCCGGTCAGGTGGGTGACGACTGAGCACGAGAACCACTTCCAGACTCGAGCTTTCTGGAGACCGCCTCCGATCACTGGAGAACAAGACCAAGACCAGACCACGAAAGGCCTCGCGCTTCTCCGTATCAAACATGTTAACCCTTTTGGCGCTACCGATACTACCGAGTCAACGGGCTACGGCGTACCGAGTAGAGTACGTGCACACTGCGTCGGGCCCTAAAACTTCCTAGCGACCAGACGGGAAGCCCAGCACGCCAGCAAGCACGCCAGTCCCCAGTGAAGGGTTGCTCACGTTTAGGGCGGATGGGAAGATGGAGAGAGCCCCTCATGCCCCTGACGCCTCAACCGATAGAGCATGAACTCGACGCTCCAGGGCAAGCCGCCAGCGGCCATCAGTGGGGTGATGGAACATTCAGGCGAAGCCGCTGTAAATCCGTCAATTGTTGCGGCAACCGCCTGTAAGGGGGGAAAGTTCCCCAGGGGATTGGTGCCAAAGTAGGGGCCCCCTGTACGCCGCAACGGCGTTGTTGGGCGCCTGAGTCGTCGGAGGATGTTCGTGGAGTCGAATTCAGTTCTTCCGCCCCTGAAGGGTCCCTAGCTGGGAGGGTGCGAGACCCAATTACAGCGTTGGTATTCATACGGCGTCACGTACGGCGTCAAGTACCTCGCGGGAAGACAGGGCGAATGTGGGCGCGGGCGTGGTTCATGTCGGTAATGCTGGGTGGATTTGGGGGTGTGTGACTGTAAGAGACATGTGGACGGGACGGATACCTGTGTGTATTCTTCGCAGATGTGGTAAGGTACGGAGCATCGGTGACCAGTCTTCTCCAATCTCAGCATGGCGGCGAGATGAGGAATTACTCGTACCTGCTTTTGGGGAGCCATGACTTGCTGCTGGATGAAAATGCTTGTGCTGGCTCCAGCTGCTTGTGCTGTGCATCGGATCCGAGGGCACCATACGGGCAAAGCTCGAAGCGCATTGGCTAAGACAAGACGGAATTTGGTGCGATTGGCACGATTTTGCTCCATTTCCTTGGTTTGCTGCACAGCACAGATAACCTTTTTGCTGTTGCGCATTACCTTAGTTATGCCCGCTCGCGGCTTTTCTACCTTGACGCAAGGTAAGGCACCGACGAGCTGGAAGGAATCTTAGGTGAGAGAGTCTTCCTTTTCCTTGCCCTGCCCTGCTTTCCAGGTACGTACCTCGAGC